ATATTATTTTAATTAAATAAATATTAAGTATTATTTTTTAATAATAATTAATATTATAAAAATATTCTTAACTTATATTTTAAAAATGCAGATTATAAGATTGCTTTATTTATTTATGTTATTGAGGAAATTTTTGATAACTAAATATTTTTACGTTGAGGATGAGGAGAAAAGAGAGATAAATTTTTTTTTATTTAATTATCAAAACAATTAAAACGAGGGGTAGGGTAGAAACGTTTTACTTTTTAAACTTATTTATATATCCAACAAAAAAAAAATATTGTCATTTAAAATATTAAAACATCTTTATTCTACTTTTATGTTTATTTAGAGTCAATTATAGTATTGTTTTATCAACTTATAATAATTTAATGTCTTTTTAATCTTTCAACTCTAGTATTTTACATTAATTTGTTCCCTTAAGTCAATTTTTCACCATTTTTTCTTTATTCCTCAGCATTAGAATTTTACACCAAATTTATCCCTTTGTAGATGTCTCGCTGACATGACCCATTAAACTAACGAAAAATCACACATTTGGAAAACTTTTAATGGAGTGAAGATAACATATCATACAATTTGTTTTATGTAATTTTGACATTCTAAATGTTGAGATGTTCACATTCTAATAAGGACAATCTTGATAATTAATGATAAATTAAAATTTCGTTTCACGAAACACACATTAATTTTGAGAAAGAGCCTCTAGTTAGTGGAATATGAATATTAGCATGGTAGCATAGTAGATAGGAATTGTTATACTGTCAAGCTGCTTGCTCTCCCCAGAACTGGTATAATAAATGAGATTATCTAGTAACTAAAGGAATTCAAAGGGTAATCTTTCTACACCTTGTGGTATTGTTGTAACTTGTATAGTCATTTTCTAATGTTGTATGTTTAGGTAGCTTGTGTTATTGACAAGTGACTTAATTGTGTCATATCTAATTTTGAGTTTTGGTCTAGTTATAAAATTCATGTAAACATTTGATTGTTACCTTTTTATATAGATGCTTTAACTAAATTAGTTTAGGCCATGATTATAATTTATATTACAGAAAGATGACAATCTTTTAATTATAGCCTCCATTGCATTTTTATTTTACATTTTAAAAACACAAACAAGCAAGCCAAAATGGGGATGAAGGCGGTTATTATTTAGAATAGAAATCAGTTTTCATTGGCTATCATGAATATTCAGCTAGCTATATAAAACTACTAAGAAGATTGATGAATTAGTGATCTTGACACTTTAATTTTGGACTAAAATAAAATCTAAAATGATTCACCAATCTATGTTGAGCAATGAAGTCTTAGATCTTAAGGATCAAATAAAATAGGTGTCACTAAATCACCATTAATTTCCTGCAAATAATAATTAATTAAGTTATATGCATATATAGCATGCATTGGCGAACACCATTAAGTAATATTTTCAACACTAGGCATGTATAGTTTCTAAGTGATTACACTTTACCGAGGCTCCAACATTGATAGGCTAAGTTCATTGGTCGAAGATGATTCAGGCTTGCTAGATGAAGAAATTGTTTCATGTGATTTGTTGTGAACAAGGAAACCGGGTTCTTTGGGTTGTACCAATGTATTCTCACTACCCAGCATCAAAACAATAGATGACATACTCGGCCTGTCCTCGGGTTGATGCTGAACACATAACAGACTAATGTGAATACACCTTAATGCCTCTGTTAGAGTGCAAGACTCCAGTACAAATGAATCAATTAGTTTAGAAGTGCTTCCTTCTTTCCACAATCTCCAAGCCTAAAAACAAATTATGAACCTTGTCATGTTTTAGTTCAAGGAAGGTAAGAAAGCAAGGTCTTGAATCTTGATACCTACATGTCCAATAAGGTTGCTATGGTTGACATGGTGAAGCCCCCTGTTCTTCCTGCCACTTATTACTTCTAGCATCAGTATACCAAAACTAAAAACATCATATTTGACTGAGAATTGCCCATCAAAAGCATATTCTGGTGCCATGTAACCACTGTAAGAAAAAGTTTAGAAAGATTATAAAAGCAATGATTTTTGTAGTAAACTAGGCTCTAAAACTACACTACACATGTGTGGTCGTCCGTTTGTGTATTGTATCTTTTTTGTAATTACTAAATATAATAATAGTGATTCCTAATTGAAATTAATTTTTAATTAATGAATATAAAAGTCATTTCAACCACATTAATGAATAAATAAATAAATAATGAATTTGTTTTGGTATTTTCTTGTTTTAACAAAACTATGTAATTTTAAGGTATTTTTCCTTTTAATTTTTTTA